CAAATTGCTAAGACCGATGCTCATGGTGCTGATCACTGGATTGTCTGGTCCAGACTCGGATTATTTACAGACCACCGCCATATAGCTGGAATATTGCTGAGTGCGGCATATAACTAAACTCACTCACCCATTCGTTAGTTTCTTGTCTGATCAATAAATCATTGAGACTGCCATTAATGTAAAAGGGATGGAAATTCTTTTCGTGTTCTTATTGTTGTTAATACTTCATCATTCATAGGGGTCTGTAACAAGAATAAAATAATCAGTAAATTTTGTAAATTAGGACAGATCTATATAAAGACAATCTGAGCAGGGCTATGATTTTGGGGTTTAATGCCCAGTTTAGTTATCATGATTCTGTTTGACATTAGGGTTAACTTGCATTTTTAAATGTTTCACCCTGCTCTGTCATTCATATGTCAATAATTAAATGTGTTTTTAATCAATCTCTAATTTATATGTGTTGTCAATTGTTGTGAACATTTGCAAATAATTTCTTTCTGTCTGTTTTCAGGTGGGACAAGCACTTCCAGCGCATCAACAGAATAAAAAGGTTCTTAAAATGTCAATAACAGCAGTTTCCAATTATATTGTCATTTGTTGAATTATGTGACGAACAGAGTTATCTGCCCCTTGTTCTTTATTACTCTCTAATTAGGGTATGGGGACTTGTTAAAAAATTCCATTTTCTTTTTCACTTGTCTCACTCATCAGATTGGAAATATTATCCAAGTTAGGTTTTATTTATACGTCTCAAAAATGGTTTGCGGTCTATACTGAAAACAACTGTGAAACGTTTAACAAATAATATTGACCATCTGGACAATAACTCAAGACAGAACAACATAATACTGTACAAATCAAAGAGACAACTGGAGAATCAAATGAAGACGTTACAAATAAAGGTCTCGATGTTATAGAGAACAAAATGAGTATCACAGACATAAGAGATTTTGACTGTGTCGTTCGCCTTCCTTCGAAGTCACGTGGTGCCAGACCGGTGCTAGTTATGCCCCTATTCCACACAGACCACGAATCCCACGAATTGCCACGAATTGACAAATTTGAGTATTCGTAGTTGAATCGTAATCAGTTCGTGAAGTTCTTAACTAATTCGTAATATAGTCGTAGTCAGTTCTTGCAGTTCCTGGGTAATCGGGAATTCGTGGCCAAAGTTTTGAACTGTTCAAAATTTTGGGTACGAACTCCCGATTAAAAATAATCGGAACAGATTCGTAGTGCATTCTTAAGCATCGTAACCAAGTCGTAATCAATTCTTAGGTATTCTTAACTCATTCGTGTATTCGTCAGTTCGTGGTTTGACAACGAATCGGCTACGAATCTGTCAGGAATCCCACAAATTCATGCCGAAGCAAGTAAGAACTACCTACGAATCAGCTACGACAGTAAATTGGGTATATAAGGAGTTTAACATTCACTTCCGGTCATTAGCTGCTGACGATTGTGCAACGTATCCACGTATCAGTAAGACGCCAAGAAAAGCTGCAAGTAAGGGCAAGGGGAGAGGGAAGAGAAGCAAGAGAGCCAGGGAAGAGGGAGAAGAAGGCAGCACCTCACCCCCAACCCCCACAAGAATAGCTACCCCTTCACTGGAAGATGAAGCAGCTCCAGAAGTGGAAAACAATGTGGCAGATTCAGCAGCTCAGTCAGTGGGTGCAGTGGCTGGTGATGTTGGTGATAATGATGAACTAGCAGCTTCTTCCCAGTATAAGAGTAAGAAAGTCAGGTTCTTGTCCAACCTTACAGAGGACGAACAAGAGGATGTGGCCCTCTTCCTTGAGAGGAATGTCTTCATCTACAACAAGAGGCGGTTAGACCACCTCTGTGTCTCTAAAATGAATAAGGCCTGGGAAGATCTGGCCCAGGAGATGGGGAAGGAGATGAAGGCAATGACTACATTTTTTGAGAGCATCCGTACCCAGATAGGGAAACTCAGGAGGAAGAAGAGTGGTCAGGCATCTTTTGAGATGACAGACCGCCAACAGTGGATATGGACCAGATTCCAGTTCCTGATGCCCCACATCGGACATGTCACCCAACGCATAGTCCAGAGCTTCCGGAGTGGCGCCACCACCAGCCAGTGTGATGAGTTCCAGGAAGAGGAGCCACGGTATCCAGTGACCACCACACCGTCCACCACCACTTCTGGGAGAACGAGTGTGACCGTGTCCAGCACCAGCGGATCCAGAGGCAAAATAATGGGGGCCAAAACCTTAGACCAGGAGCTGCACACCTGCAAGGACCGTCAGGAGAAGCTGTTACAGATCCTGCAAGCGCCTTCTGTGCCTGAGGTCCCCCATCCAGAGAGGTTAAAGTTCGCGGAGTACCTCGGGCATGCTTTCCAGAACCTGTCCCAGTCAATCTACCGTGACGTACAGAAGGCCATTTTTGACCTTCTGTTCAACGCTGAGAAGCAGGCAGATCTGGAAGCAGGTAGATCAGCACCAGCACCTCCTCAACTGTACCAGCAGTGGCAGCGAGACCCCTCGCAGTGGCAGTTCAGACCGGTGGCCCCAGCTGGGTCGGTGTGACACTCACAGGAGCCAACCTGGGTCGACAGGCAGTTCCCAGGATACAGCTAGTCTCCAAGCCAACAGGAACTGCCCCGTCAAAGGTCATCACAGACAGCTACCTACACCAACCTGGTGCCTCCTGCCCAGAACCAGCAGCCCCGGTCGTCCTCCAGTGCCTCGGAGCATCAGCAGGAAGCGTCATTCAACCTGTCTGAGATACTGATGGACATCAGCCCCACAGCAGTTGCCACTCGGGTCACACAGACCTCGACGGCAACCGCTCAGCTTGACAGGTCCACGCTCTCCACTCCATAGACTGTGTGTTTAGCTGTGTACATCTTGGACTGTGCGCTTTTAGCTGGGTGCTCTTAGTGATATGTTTATGTCTAAAAATTCCTCTCAAAGAGTTTTTGTTTGATATGATATGATTATGATATGAATGTACTTAGATAAGCATTTCTATCTTTCAGTTTTATATATATACCAATAAAACTTGAAAAAAGATATAAAAAAGAATAAAGTTCGTTTTTGTTTGCGTGGTCCCAGCAGAGATATTGACAGATGGATTGGGGCAATGTACACATTGCAAAAACAAAACATTCATGACATAAAGCAGAAATTCTAATATAGTGAAGAAGGGAGCAGTTGTGCCAGTAGTCAGTAGAGCAATACAAGCCCTCTTGGGTCTCTTGTTTTCATAAACATTTTATTAGCGCTAATAAGCATTAATAAACACTATTAACATAATTTTAGCATGAAATATCAACATTTATCATTTAGTTAACATTCACTCCTGCCTGTCTTTCTTGCCACGGAACTGAACCTGCTTCACTGTTAAAGTAGGCCTTACGATTGTCTCTGTTGGGTGCCTCGAACTGGGGTATCTCCTCCACCTGTTGGTCTGCCCTGCAGGCACCAGGGATATTGGTGTGGTCCTCATCCTCCCGGTTGCATCCTCTGCATTGCCAATAACAGGGAATCTGATCCTCAGTAAGTTGTGGAGGATGACTCCTGTCTTCACCAGTAGCCGCACCACATCAGGTCCTTGTTCCAGGGTGCCCAGGAAGCATCTCCATCTGTTGGCTAGTATTCCGAAACCATTCTCCACCACAAGAGGAAAAGCATCATCCCCCAGGATGTAGTAGGGTATGTCTCTGTCATCATTGGGCAGGGGATCGCTGTCCGTTTATGGTGTTGTCATCAATGCACTCTTTCAGTTCTGAAGCACCAAACAGCTGTGCGTCGGATTGATGACCTTCTCCACCAGTGTCTATCCAGATGAATTTATAGTCCGCATCCACCAGGGCCAACAGCACCACGGAGAAATTTTTTTGGGGTATTTGAAGAACACACTGCCTAAGTTGTGTGGTTTCCTGATGGCTATTAGCTTGCCATCCAAGGCCCCCAGGGCATGAGGAACATTCCACCGGTCTTGGAACTGCTGGGCAATGTCTTTACAGTCCTCCTGGGTCCTTGGCAGTGGCATGACTTCATCCTTCAGCTCTCGATGATGGCCTGACAGACTTGATGCACAATCCATACCACTGTGCTGTAGCCACACCGGAAGTCATACTGGATGGTGTGATACCGGTCTCCTGTAGCCAGGTGTCTGAGAGTCATGGCTAGCTTTATTCCGGCATCTAGGGCTGGTCTCCCTGTGGATGGTCCCTCCTCTGGATGGCTCGGCTAATCCTGTTGAGGAGCTCATAAAAAGTGTGGGGTGGCATTCTCACATAGTTGGCAAATGCATTCTCATTTTCCTCAGCTCTTGCATCAGTCTGTTGTAGTGACTATATTCTAGTCTTCTATCTGGTGTCAGCCACGGTCTAACCCACCACCTGGGTGCTCTTCGAAACAGTCTTCTGAAAGTGATCAGCAGCTGGTGTTGATACTCCAGTTCCAGGGCCAATACGACAGCTGCTCTACGTTGAACATCCATTTTGGAACTGATACCCAAACAAGGGTGTCGACCCTTTTATACCTATCTCCCACGAATTGTCCAGAGTAGTCACGAATTCATTTATTCGTACCTGATTCGTACGTGCATTCGGCCTATTCTTAACTGATTCGTAACTGATTCCTAATATTCGGGCAGTATTCGTAATAGATTATTGTAAATCGTAGTGAATTCTTGACAATATTCGTGCGATTCCAGCCGAATCCCACGAGTATTCGTACCTATATCGTACCTGTATCGTAAATGAATCGTAGAGCGTCACGAATTGACGCAGAAAAGTTGTACAATTCCACGAATCAGCACGAATTCTCACGAATCCTCAAAGTTATCAATTCGTGGCGATTCGTGGGATTCGTGGTCTGTGTGGAATAGGGGCATTACCTGCCTCAACTTCCGACACAGGACAAGGATTTTACAGTCAGCCAAACTTCTTAAAGGACACGGTATCTCCATTTCACAGGATTTCACGGAAAAAGTACTGTCTACCAGGCAAAAAACTCAAATGATTCATGACCGAGGCCAGGAACGAAGGTAAATTCTCTACTCTTGAAGGTGATAAAATCCAAATTGAAAACAAACTTTATCGACTAAACGATACTGAAGATGAATTAGTTCTGTTAAAAACATTCCCTCTTCGATCTCCTGATATTGACTCTAACAAATAGGGGCATGGCCAAGGCCCACGTGCAGTAACTAAGTCCTGGACTGCTGTTCTGTGGAATGTGGAAGGTCTAAAGAATAAAATTTGCCGGGAACATATCATCAACTTTCTGGAAAAATTCAGCTTTATATCTCTCGTGGAGACGTGGTCAGATGAAAGTGAGGAGTTGTTGTTTCAAGGATATACAGTGTTTGGGAAGTGTAGACAAAAACATGCCAACGCCTTTAGAAATTCGGGTGGAATAACTGTATTAATCGCCGACACTGTCTCAGAATTTGTGTCATTAATCTCGACGGAAAGTAACAACATACTATGGTTGCGTGTGCGTGTACCAGTTTATCAGGTTGGGGAAACCTACCGATCGGCCTATAATAGGCCAAATGGGATATTATAGGCCGTTCTGCCTATTTTGCTATAGGCCGATCGGCCAATAATTATGATATTTGTTAAATAAATTTGAAGTGGTGCATTTCCTCATGAGGATATTAACATCATTCAAGTTTTGATGTCCTAAGGTTTTCCTTCACACCCTTTTTGAGAATTTTATCACGTAATAAAGGAGTTTGGTAATTGCTAATTAAATATAAGTCTATAATATTTTTGACAATTTTCACCAAAAATTAATGACATAGATATTCAGTTTTAGTTTACAAGAGGAAAATCTATGCAAATCCATGTTCTTAATAAAACTTCTTTTCCTGAACATGATATAACTTTCCATTTTGTCCAAAAACTTATCTTTTTCAAGCTGAGAGGTCCATTAACTTTTCATCTCAATGATCATATAAAACTATTTCTTGTGGAAATTGATAGTTTGTGAAATAATTAAAAAAATGTTCGGATATAGCCCGATCGGTCAATAGAAAAATAGGCAGAACGGCCTATGATATCCTGTTCGGCCTATTATAGGCCGATCGGTAGGTTTTCCCAACCTGTTTATCACTTTTCCATATTTATAGGGCGGTGGGGTAGCCTAGTGGTTAAAGCGTTGGCTCGTCACGCCGAAGACACGGGTTCGAATCCCCACATGGGTACAATGTGTGAAGCCTATTTCTGGTGTCCCCCGCCGTGATGTTGCTGGAATATTGCTAAAAGCGGCGTAAAACCAAACTCAGTCAGTCAGTTTTCCATATGTATAGGTGTTGTTTACTATTCTCCTGCAAGTTCCAGTGCACATGCTGATGAACCTATTTTTTCTCTTTAGGAAGATGATGTAAACAAATTCAGATCAAATGAACCTGATTGTAGAATTATATTTCAAGGTGATTTTAATGCACGCACTAGGAATGGATGTTACAAAGATTATATTGTTAATGATGACCCGAGGTATCTCCCGATTGATGATGACATAGACTATATAACCGACGACGCCATCGAACCACGTGCATCACGTGACACTGTGATCAACAAACGTGGCTATGCCCTATTGAACGTCTGCAAAACATTGGACTTGAGAATATGTAACGGCCGTCTATTTCATGATAAAGGTAAAGGTAACATAACATGTTTTGCCAATAATGGACAAATTGTTGTTGACTATGTGCTTTGTTCGGACAATGCTTTTGAACTTTTTGATGATTTTAAAGTGTCCGATGAAGTTGAGTCGACTCATCTGCCAATAACATTTTCGTTTTCATTGACACTGAATGATAATGAACATTTCTACAATCTTTCATCTAAAACTAGATATCGATGGAACAATAACTGTTTACTAAAATACCTGCACAACTGAGATCTATTACCACCCGATGTTATAAACCAGTTTCATTCCTTTATTGATAACGGTGATGTTCAAGAGGCATCGTCACTTTTTAATACGGTTATGCAATCATGTGCCAGTTTCTGTAAATCTAGTGTATTGTCGACAAATAATGTTCCAAAGGGAGACAGCTGGTATGACGGTGAATGCAAGAGTGCACGTGATACCGTTCGGCCCCTTCTGCGTGCATTTCAAGCAAGTAACTGTAAATCTGATAGACAACGCTATGTCGAGTCTGTGTCACACTATAAACAGTTGTGTGCTGCGAAACTTTCTTCATCATTTTCAGATTACACACATAAACTTAGTAACGCACTCTCTACTAAAGACAGTAAATTATTCTGGAGAACTGTGAAATCGAAATCATCATTTGTAAACAATAATATTACACCATTTGACTGGATGAATCATTTCAAGAATGTTTTTCAGTCTTCCTATATATTGTTCAGCCGATGAAGAACGCTTCTATATTTTTGTCAAACATTTTGTTGATTCAATCAGTGATAGACGTATTGATTCATCTGTGGACAATGACTATTTGGACAAGAAAATATCCTACCAAGAAATAGTTAATGCTATTCAAGAAATGCATAATGGAAAAGCACCAGGACTCAGTGCCATTCCAATTGAATTTTTTTAAAACTGCACCTCATCATTATATTAATTTATTGAAATCTCTTTTTAATAGCATTTTGTCTACGGGTATTTATCCATCTCAGTGGACGTATGGAGTTATAATTCCTTTGTATAAGAAACGTAAAACTGATTGCCCTGGGAATTATAGACCTATTACACTGCTTGAAGTAACTGGTAATATATTTTGTAAATTTTTTTAACAACAGGTTAAACTCTTGGGCTGAAAGGGAAGAATTCTTTGTTGACGAGCAAGCTGGCTTCAGGTGTGGTTCCCAAACACATGATAATATATTCATTCTTAATGCTATAATTGATAAATATCTTTCACTTTACAAAGGTCGCCTCTATTGTGCATTTATTGACTTGAAGGCCGCTTTTGACTCAGTTGATAGGTGTGGTCTCCTGTACAAACTGTGGCTTGGCAATGTGAAAGGTAATACCTACAGGCTATTGAAAAATATGTACCAAAATGTTAAAGCTTGTGTGTCGATGAGAGATGGCTACACACCGTTTTTTGATTGTTTATCAGGAGTTCGTCAGGGATGCCAGTTGTCTCCCTTTCTCTTTTCCTTCTTTGTCAACGACATTGTTGATTGTCTATCTGCTGATGGTCAGAGGGGTATCAATCTAGACTTAGTTGAGCTGTTCTTCCTATTGTTTGCTGATGATATTGCGCTTTTTGACTTTACAGTTATAGGTCTGCAAAAGAGGCTAGACAAGCTAGTTTTGTATTGTAACAAGTGGAAATTGAAAATAATAATCGACTACGACATTACGAAAAGTTCCATTTGAATTGACAGTTGCTTGAAATGGTTGCATATAAATGGTCATATAAATACTTGGGTGTTCACTTCTCTTACACAGAAAACCTTGGCTGACCAAGCATGGAAGGTGTTGAATATTCTCAAATCATCGGTTAAGAATTTTTATAATCAACCAATTAATGTTCTGCTCCATATATTTGATGTCAAGGTTTTGCCATTGTTACTATACGGAAGTGAAGTCTGGGGTTTCCACCCGTCGCCATCTGTATTAAATGTACACGATAGGTTCTGTAAACACGTTTTGGGTCTTTCAAGATACACGCCAAATATTACAGCGCGTGCTGAGATTGGTCGTTATTCATTAAAGGTAAATCATTACATTAAGATTGTTAAATATTGGGTTCGCCTCCTGTCTCAAGTTGAGAATGTAATCTTAAATAAGGTATATGAGTATCAGTATTGTCTTGCTCAAAAAGGAATAGATTGTTGGGCTTTTAAGGTAAAATCTCTTTTGTACAGTTATGTTATTTTTTGGCAATGTGTGGGCCAGTCAAAGTGTTGGAAATATCTCTACTTTCATGTCATTATTTAAGCAAAGATGTATTGATATAGATAACCAGTTGTGGTCATCTCGTATTATACTTGTTTCGAAATTGGATTTTTATCGCAGGCTCAAAGAAGGTGTAGCTTTTGAGTTCTATATCGATAGTGTTAGTGTAAAACAGTTTCGAGTCTACTTGAGTCGATTTCGTTGCTCAAACCACATTTTGATGATAGAGTACGGTAGACATTTAGGTCTTAAAAGGGAGGATCGCCTGTGCCCGCTTTGTATCATACCTAATATAGAAAATGAATATCACTTTTACCTGGAATGCCCTTTTTATGGGAAATTAAGAAATGATATCCTCCCTAAATAGTATCACATATATCCATCTGAAGTGAAATTAGCTCAGTTGTTTACATCAAAGAATACTTATATTATAAATTGTCTTGCAAAATATCTATTTTTTTGCAATGAAAAAACGAAATACATTTCTTTCAGTCTTCGTACCCACAAATGTATAATTGTGCAGCTCTCATGATGTTGTACGGTGCTCTAATGATTGTACATTCTGGACACCTGATGTATAATGGGCCTGTGGCCCCTTTACTGAATAAAACTCTTTCTCTCCTAACCACTGGTAATTTCTGCAGAATATATTGAAAAGTCACAAAGTACACCGAAAATCAATTTCTCGACCATGTGTGGTCCTAAAACGTATGGTAAGCAGCTGGGATAGGGGGCGTATTTCTCGCTAGTTTACACGACCCTCTCCCCAGGTATCAACATATGTACAGCATATGGTGTCTTAGTCATCACTTTTAGATTTGATAATGAAAATAGCATCCTTCTCATGCGACACCCACATCACCACATACATCACATCGCTACCCTCCACTTGCATCCAGACCCGTGAAGGTCCGGGTTAGAATGTTGATCTTCAGTAACCCATGCTTGTCGTATGAGGCGACTAACGGGATCGGGTGGTCAGGTTCGCTGACTTGGCTGAACCATGTCATCGGTTCCCAATTGCGCAGATCGATGCCCATGCAGTTGATCACTGGATTGTCTTGTCCAGACTTGATTATTTACAGACCGCTGCCATATGGCTGGAATGTTGCTGAGTGCGGCGTAAACTAAACTCACTCACTTACTCCACTTGCATTCCTAACACACGGACACTAAATGAATTTCCACCCACTCACATCATCACCAGCAACCACACTGCCACCATACATATCACAACCAAACATCACTTACAATCAAACCACCAGCTACCGCTCCATCACCCACTCACATCATCACCAGCAACCACACACTGCCACCAAACATATCACAACCAAACACATCACTTATCACTGTATCCACCACTTAAACCCCCAACACACTGTCACTAAATGAATTTCCCACCACCCACAACACCACCAACGACCACAAGACCATATCACTAAAGACAACCAAAAACAACCACACCACCTACTACCACGTCACCACCTACCCCATCATCACCCACCACATCACCTACTACCACATCACCACCAACCACATCACCACACACCACATCACCACCAACCACGTCACCACACCACCTACTACCACGTCACCACCTACCCAATCATCACCCACCACATCACCTACTACCACATCAACACTTACCACATCACCACCAACCACGCCATAACCAACCACATCACCAACCAACCACATCACCTACTACCACATCACCACCAACCACGCCACCACCAACCACATCACTACTAACCACATTACCTACTACCACATAACCACTTACCACATCACCAACCAACCACATCACCTACTACCACATCACCAACTAACCACATCAACCACATCACCCAAACCACATCACTACCAACCACATCACCACTCACCACATCACTACTTAACCATTATCACCACTACCATATCACCACTTACCACATCACCAACCAACTATATCACCACCATCAACATCACAACCAACCACATCACCACAAACCACATCACCACCAACCACATCACCACCTACCACATCACCATCAACCATGCCACCACCAACCACAATACCAACCAACCACATCACCTACTACCACATCACCACTTACCACATCACCAACCAACCACATCACAACAAACCACATCACTACCAGCCACATCACCACCAACCACATCACTAACAACCACATCACCTACTACCACATCACCACTCACCACCAACCAACCAGCTTACCACATCACCACCAACCACGCCACCACCAACCACATCACCAACCAACCACACCACCTACTACCACATCACCACCAGCCACGCCACCACCAACCACATCACTACCAACCACATCACCTTCTACCACATCACCACTTACCACATCACCACTTACCACATCACCACCAACCACGCCACCACCAACCACATCACCACCAACCACATCACTACCAACCACATCACCTACTCCTACATCACCACTCAACACCAACCAACCAATTTACTACATCACTCACCAACCACGCCACCACCAACCACATCAAATACACCAACCACATCACCTACTACCACATCACCACCAACCACGCCACCACCAACCACATCACTACCAACCACATCACCACAAACCACATCACCACCAACCACATCACCACTTACCACATCACCACCAACCACGCCACCACCAACCACATTACCAACCAACCACATCACCTACTACTGCATCACCAACCAACCACACCACCAACTAACCACATCACCACAAACCACATCACTACCAACCACATCACCACCAACCACATCACTACCAACCACATCACCTACTACCACATCACCACTTACCACATCACCAACCAACTATATCACCACCATCAACATCACCACCGACCACATCACCACTTACCACATCACCACCAACCACGCCACCACCAACCACATTACCAACCAACCACATCACCTACTACCACATCACCATCAACCACGCCACCACCAACCACATCACTACCAACCACATCACCTACTACCACATCACCACTTACCACATCACTACCAACCACATCACCTATTACCACATCACTAACCAACCATCACTCTATTACTCACATCACCAACCAAATCCACATCAAATTTCACATCAAAATTAACCAACCACATCACTCTATTACCATTACATCACCAACCAAACCACACCACCAACCAGCCACATATCACCATACAACCACATCACTACTTTAACCACACTACCACCTTCAACCACATCATCACTACTAACCACATCACTCTACTACCACATCACCACTCACTCACCAACCAACAAACAAACTTTACCACATCACCACCAACCACGCCACCAGCACTACAGCCACATCACCAACCAACCACATCACCTACTACCACATCACCACCAGCCATCACCACCAACCACATCACTACCAACCACATCACCTACTACCACATCACCACTTACCACATCACCAACCAACCACATCACCTACTACCACATCACCAACCAACCACACCACAACCAACCACATCACCACCAACCACGCCACCACCAACCACATCACTACCAACCACATCACCACAAACCACATCACTACCAACCACATCACCACCAACCACATCACTACCAACCACATCACCACAAACCACATCACTACCAACCACATCACCACCAACCACATCACTACCAACCACATCACCTACTACCACATCACCAACCAACCACATCACCTACTACCACATCACCAACCAACAACACCACCACAAACCACATCACCACCAGCCAGGCCACCACCAGCCACATCACTACCACCCACATCACCTACTACCACATCACCGCTTACCACATCACCAACCAACCACATCACCTACTACCACATCACCAACCAACCACACCACCAACCAACCCCATCACCACAAACCACATCACTACCTACCACATCACCACCAACCACATCACTACCAACCACATCACCTACTACCACATCACCACTTACCACATCACCAACCAACCACATCACCTACTACCGCATCACCAACCAACCACACTACCAACCAACCACATCACCACCAACCACGCCACCAACCAACCACATCACCACAAACCACATCACTACCAACCACATCACCACCAACCACATCACTACCAACCACATCACCTATTACCACATCACCAACCAACCACACCACCAACCAACCACATCACCACAAACCACATCACTACCAACCACATCACCACCAACCACATCACTACCAACCACATCACCTACTACCACATCACCACTCACCACCAACCAACCAACTTACCACATCACCACCAACCACGCCACCACCAACCACATCACCAACCAACCACATCACCTACTACCACATCACCACCAGCCACGCCACCACCCACCACATCCCTACCAACCACATCACCTACTACCACATCACCACTTACCACATCACCAACCAACCACATCACCTACTACCACATCACCAACCAACCACACCACAACAAACCACATTACCACCAACCACATCACCACCAACCACATCACTACCAACCACATCACCTATTACCACATGACCACTTACCACATCACCAACCAACCACATCACCTACTACCACATCACCAACCAACTACACCACCAACCAACCACATCACCACCAACCACGCCACCACCAACCACATCACTACCAACCACATCACCACCAACCACATCACTACCAACCACATCACCTACTACCACATCACCACTAACCACATCACCAACCAACCACATCACCTACTACCACATCACCAACCAACCACACCACCACAAACCACATCACCACCAGCCACGCCACCACAAGCCACATCACTACCACCCACATCACCTACTACCACATCACTACTTACCACATCACCAACCAACCACATCACCTACTACCACATCACCAACCAACCACACCACCAACCAACCCCATCACCACAAACCACATCACTACCAACCACATCACCTACTACAACATCACCACTTACCACATCACCAACCAACCACATCATCTACTACCGCATCACCAACCAACCACACTACCAACCAACCACATCACCACCAACCACGCCACCACCAACCACATCACTACCAACCACAGCACCACAAACCACATTACTACCAACCACATCACCAACAAACACATCGCTACCAACCACATCACCTACTACCACATCACCACTTACCACATCACCAACCAACCACATCACCACCAACCACATCACTACCAACCACATCACCTACAACCACATCACCACCAACCACATCACCTACTACTACATCACCACTTATTACATCACCAACCAACCACACCACCACAAACCACATCAACACCACCTACAACACCACCAACGACCACAAGGCCACCCATCGCATCACCAACAACCACACCACCTACAAACACATCACCACAAACCACATCGTCTACTACTACATCACCACTTACCACATCACCAACCAACCACACCACCACAAACCACATCAACACCACCTACAACACCACCAACGACCACAAGGCCACCCATCGCATCACCAACAACCACATCACTACCAACCACATCACCACTAACCACATCACTACCAACCACATCACCTACTACCACATCACCACAAACCACATCACCACGTCGACACCAACCACATCAACACCAACCACGTCACCACCAACATCACCCACCAACCACATCACCACCAACCACATCACTACCAAACACGTCACCACCAACTACACTGCCACCAACCACATCACCACAAACCACATTACCACCAACCACGCCACCACCAACCACATTACCTATTACCACATCACCACAAACCACATCACCACGTCGACACCAACCACATCAACACCAACCACGTCACCACCAACATCACCACCAACCACATCACCACCAACCACATCACTACCAACCACATCACCACCAACCACATCACCACCAACCACATCACAACCAACCACGTCACCACCAACAACATCACCACAAACCACATCACCACGTCACCACCAACCACATAACCTACTACCACATCACCACAAACCACATCACCACATCACCACCAACCACATCACCTACTACCACATCACTACAAACCACATCACCACATCACCACTTCACAACCACATCACCTACTACCACGTCACCACATCACCACCAACATCGATATCACCACCAACATCACCACCAACCACATCACCACAAACCACTTCACAACCAACCACATCACCACTAACATCACCACCAACCACATCACCACCAACCACGCCACCACCAACCATATCACCAACAACCACATCACCAACAACCACACCACCTACTACCACATCATCACCCACCACATCACCACAAACGACATCACTACCAACCACGTCACCACCAATCACATCACCACCAACCACGCCACTACCAATCACATCACCACTTACCACGCCACCAACAACAACATCACCTACTACCACATCACCACCAACCACATCACCACCAACCACATCATCACCACCACATCATCACCCACCACATCACCTACCACCACATAACCACAAACCACATCATCAACCAACCACATCACCACTTACCACATCACCAACCAACCACATCACCTACTACCGCATCACCAACAAACCACACTACCAACCACCCACATCACCACCAACCACGCCACCACCAACCACATCACTACCAACCACATCACCACAAACCACATCACTACCAACCACATCACCACCAACCACATCACCACCAATCACATCACCGCCAACCACATCACCACCAACATCACCAACCAACCACATCACCACCAACCACATCACCTACTACTACATCACCACTTACCACATCACCAACCAGCCACACCACCACAAACCACATCAACACCACCTACAACACCACCAACGACCACAAGGCCACCCATCGCATCACCAACAACCACACCACCTACAACCACATCATCACCCGCCACATCACCACAAACCACATCACTACCAACCACGTCACCACCAACCACACTGCCACCAACTACATCACTACCAACCACGCCACCAACAACCACGCCACCAACAATCACATCACCACAAACCATATCACCAGCAACCACGCCACCACCAACCACATCACCACCAACCACATCACCACGTCACCACCAACCACACCAACACCAACCACGAACCACATCACCACCAACCACATCACCACCCAGCACATCATCACCAACCACATCACCATCCAGCACATCACCACAAACCACATCACCACCAATCACATCACCACCAATCACACCCCCACAAACATCAATATTCACCACCCAGCAGATCACCACCAACCACATCACCATCCAGCACATCACCACAAACCACATCACCACCAATCACATCCCTACCAATCACACCCCCACAAACATCACCACGACCCACGAACCACATCACCACCCAGCACATCACCACAAACCACATCACCACAAACCACGTCACCACCAACATCACCATTCACCACATCCCCGCCCACATCTCCCGCGACTACATCACAGCCAAGCATATGGCGATCTCCCAAACAACTACCTGGACCCCATGTCACGACTTGTACTATTTCACCAACAACTACACCGACCACTACATTCACATCACCACCTACACAACATCGACACCAACCACATCAGCACTTACCATACCACCGCGTCTTCGATAACGCCACGTCACCACCCACGACATCACCACGTACCGCATCACCGCCCATCACATCACCGCCCATCACAAGCATATGGCGATCTCCCAAACAACTACCTGGCCCCCATGTCACGACTTCACCAACAACTACACCAACCAGTACATTCATATCACCACGTACACAACATCGACACCAACCACATCAGCGCTTACCATACCACCGCGACGTCGATAACGCCTCGTCACCACCCACGACATCACCACATACCGCATCACCGCCCATCACATCACCGCCCATCACAT